CATGCTTGTATTGTTGCTTGGGATTTATAAATGTTCTCATTTGCCTTTGCTGGCCGGAGATAAATTGATAAAGATAATGAAAGTAAATTCTTTGGAAATTCATTATTATTTGGGAAGTTGTTTACCTGCTATCTGGCTTTATGAATTATAATTGTTGTTTTAATAAAATTTCATGATCTCCTCACATTTTTACTATATTATCGTTGGACCACTAGTAAGTATCGAAGTCGACCTCTCGTCTCTACTTTTTCGAGATTAGACGGGATATTCATTGGGTACACGTTGTTTTCGTACTCATACTACACGTGCTGTGCATTTTTGTTGCACAGGTTCATATGTGGCTAGTGGCTTGGTGGCATAGCGGCATGGTTAATACAAATACTTAGGTGAGTTGCATTTATCGAGACGTCCGCAGCCAGCAGAGTCTCCTTCAGAGTATTGTACTGTATTTTCATTTCTGTCCACTTGTATTCCAGACAGTTACTGTATTTTATTTCATTCCCTGGAAATTGCTCATGTACTTGTGACACCGGGTTCTGGGATGATCACGGGATTTTTCAGTAGTTAAATTTTGTAAAGACACCCTCTTTTATCCAGCGGAGTTTATTATTTATTATTTATTTGTTTAAAGGAAATAATTTCAAAATAATTTAAAATGAGAGATTGCTAGTAAATTGTAGTTGGCTTGCCTGACAGAGGTGTCCGGCGCCATCACGACCCTTAGTGGAATTTGGGATCATGACATCCAAGAAAAAAGACTAGCCAAATATGGAAGAATTATATTTTCCTTATCGTTAAAGAAAAATCAATTATGATAAATATGTAATCCTTCCTTCAGGAAATAAGAAAACAAAATATGATAATAAAATTAGCACAAACACCTAAATGGCCAACAAAAGCAGTTACATCGGACCATGAATAATAAATAAAATGAAACAACATAAAAACCTGTAGTCTTGTAATCTTATATCAGTACGACTTTTGGCATCATAAAAGGATTGAAACCATATTCATAGCACGACAATTTTCTGAACAAGTCGAACTAGGAGGTTCTTAGACTGTAATTAAGAACATTCATTTCTTGGACCGGTTAAAGTTACTGTTTTCTTTTATTATTGCAATTGATCTCAAACATTATATGGAGCACTGTCACACCCCTATATTGGTGGAATATAATCGACACTTCATGTCTTAAATTTACCGTTGAGTGAATCATGGGAGGAATTAATCCAAAATCTTGAATAATAGTGAGGAAATTAAATTCATTAAGGATATACAAGCAACTTGCGGGTTCAAAAATATTTTTTATTTCTGTTTATTGCATTAACGTTTTATTTTCATAAATATTTGGAAAAATGTTTTCAATCATAAAGCACGACTGCTGGTCGAAACATTTGAAATATCATAAGGGAAAATACATAAATGCACCATGTACTTCCCATAATGCCAGTTTCACGATTAAATTTGCGTGTGACCAATTACCCCCTTACTCTTACTAGTAAGAGAAAATTACCCTTATAGCCTCTCAAAATTTTAATAGCCCATGTTTTTATCCACTTACACGAAAATGACCTTTCGGCCCAATTTATTTGCAATTTGTAGCCATTATCTATTTCCAATGCATTTATCTTCCCTAGACAACATTTAATCCTAGCCTTTTTATCTTTCTTTCATTCTATCCAATGCACACCTTGTTATCTTTCTTTCATTCTATTCAATGCACAATTTTTTTTTCCCATTATCATTTTCATTCCTATTCTTTTTCTTTCTTGTGTCTTCTTCATCTTCCTTTTATCTTTTTTTGATTATGTTTTTTCATTTTCCTTCCCTTCTTTATCTTCCTTTTCAGATCTATAGTTTTCCTCTTTATTTTTTTTTATTTCTCACTGGAAAAATTTGTTTGAGTACCTAGAAAAATCACAAAATTTTTAATTCAATTATTAAAAAGATCTACTCAATTACGATGCATGATACAAGAGTGACAACAAAAGTTGTGGGGTTTTCTAGTCGTGCGGTTTTCTTCTTTTATATATATATATAGTTATATAGTTATAGTTATAGTTATACAATCTATTAAATATTTTATATACATATTGTATAAATTTTGTATATAAGTGTATCTTGTATTTTTCAATGTATATTATAAAAATTATATATAAATTGTTATAAAATGTATAAAAATTGTACATATACTATTACATTGTATAAATTCACAAAATTAAGTGTATCCTCTATATTTTAGTGTATCCCTAATGTATTATTAGTGTATATTTATTGTATAGTGACAGTCTGTTTTGTATATATTTTGTATAGTGACAACCTATTTTGTATATAAATTATATAGTGACAGTCTATTGTATATAAATTGTATAGTTATCGTATATTTTTGTATAATTTTTGTATAGTGACAGTCTATTTTGTATATATATTTGTAATAAAATGAATATATATATATATATATATATATATATATATAAGGTGAACACCAAAACATTACCTGTTCAATTAAGCGGTGAACAAGACTACCATTAGAGATGAGATTCGAAGTCTCTCTATACGTGTTATGAAACAACCAAAGTAAGTCATAAAAAAATAAAAGGGGTCAATGTAGGCAGTGCTTCTTAATTTTTTACATTTGTTCTTTATTCTTTGTTGATAAATCAGCTTTTAAATCTTTCAATTTGATATTAGAGCCAGATGAGTATAAAAAGCTCTAAGGTAATTTAATTTTAACCTGTAAAGTCTATTGTGAGATGTATTAGTTAACAACAATTAAAGATCATTGGGGTGAGAAGTAAACATTTCTTTAGTTTAAATAGATGGGTTGTAAATGTAGGTAGTGCCTTTTACTCTTCACATTTTTCTTCTTCTTTGTTAATAAATCTGCTTTTTAATCTTTCCTTCAATCTGAAAAAAATGTATTAGTTAACGACCACTTTTTCCAAGCAGATTCGTCCAGGTTCTTAGCATCCTCAGCTGACGTTGTTCTTGAAACTGTATTGTCACCGGTCGTCTGGGATCGCGGAGATTTGTTCACAAAGGAGTAATCGATCTCGGAGTTAGGGTTGCAGGAGGAATAGCGGGATGGGGAAGAAGAGGAGAAGCTGGAGAAGATGTAGAAGAGAAGAGAGATAGCGAGAAATGCGAGGAGAAAAAGTAGTACCGGAGATCTAGGTTTGAAAGTACCGGAGGACTAGCCTTTTAATTAGTTTTGGGCTGTTAATTGTATGGTTTATTTTGTGGCTAGCTATTGTCATTAATTTTTTCCGGATGGCTACAAATGAAGTTTGCTCTACTAGTAAGGGGAGGATTTCTTAAGGGAACTGGGCCTAAGGGGAATTAAATGAGTTAAGAGAATTTTTGGGAGTACCGTACCATTACCACTACTGGTCATTGGGGAAGGTACTTAAGGGGGCCGGTAAGGATACTTAGGGGTTAATTATTTTTTTTTAAACTACTATATATAAATACACACAAACTTAGGGGTTAAAAAAATTAGGCGGTAGAGGGGGTGTTAGGGTGTAGAGAGGCAAAAATAGCCATTTTTGGCGGTTGCCAACATCTATTTTTTTTAAAAATAATTGGTGGCTAACAGTCAAAAAATAATTAAATTTAATAAATAAATAAAAAAATATTAAGGGTACTGGTTCATGTAACTTAAGGGCTCGTTTGGAATGATGGATAAGAAATAATTAATTTCGGGACAAAATCTAAAAAAAGTTTATCCCATGTTTAGTTGGGAAAAAATTATGGTATAATTAATCTCGGGATTGTCATATTTTTTTATCCCTATGAAAAGGTAAAATAACCAATCTCGAGACAACCAAGGAACTTCCAAGGGTAACAACTGGATAGGTTCTACCGGTAACTTTTCCGGCACCCTCCCGCTCTTCGTTTCCATTACCTAAATCTCCTACCCTTACCCTCAATCGGACCGAGATGGAATGGTACCGAAATCGGTATGAACCAGACCGGTTTTGGGCCATCCCCTCACCTTAGACAACCCTAACATCAACTAATTGAGGATTAAAAGTAGTAGAAAAAAAATTTGCTACTAGTAATCTATGAGCACGTTTGGATTAGCTAATAAACAATAGGTGCTGAAAAGTACTTTTAAGTGCTGAAACTGATTTAATAAATAAGCAGTTACGTGTTTGGGTACAAGTGCTGAAATTGATAATAAGTTGTTGCAGTATTTGATAAAAAAGTGTTGAGAAGCTCTTTTTCTGTTAAAATGACTTAAATAACCTTATAACTATTTACACCTATAAGGGCGTAATTTCTTCAAAATTTTAGATTTTAGATCGGTTCAAATAGAAAATATTTTATTTATCATTTTATTTTAAATACAACTGTGCTTAGATAAGATAATTTTTATAATAAATATAATTTATTTTATGATAAACATATAATCATAAGTTATAATAATAATAAATTGACAAAAGCTTCTTGGTAAAAAATAAACCTAAATAGGACATAATATTTGAAGAGAAACAAACATTGTCTTCATCATCACAACACTTAGAAAGCAATACACCAAAAATTTGATATGTCCTCATTTATTACATACTGTTCAAAGACTAATACACAATCACATAGATATAAATATGCAAAGAAATAGAGAATTTGCTTATCTTAAATAGTCAATGAGAATTACAGACTTGAAGAGGCGGGGGGTTTAGGTTGAAAATATACTTGAGGCAGTGAGTATCGATGTAGGAGTTTTGTTTTAAAAAGAAATATTTTAAAAATAAAATAATAAAAATCTTGATCAAACGTAAAATGCTTATAAGCTAAAATTTCATAAGCTAGGTTGACAACTTATGACCTATTTTTGACTTGTAAGTACTTGATTTATAAGTACTTTGAATTTTATTAAAAAAAAAATGCTTATGAGCTAGAGCGGCTTATAATCTCAGGTAAACAGCCTCTATATTTGTTTTTCACATTGGTTTTAGTAATCTGTTACCGACAAGGAAAAGGTGATTAAAAAGATAATTCTAGATCTCGTGAATGCTAAAAACCTACCCCTCCAAAATAAGACCCTCAAGACTTCCATCTTCACTCTTGTATTTCCCTTTCCATCTTCACTTTTCTCAAGCAACCAGACAATTTTCACCCCAGTGATCCAATCACAAACCCCAAACCCCAATCGATTCATCCGGTGCAAAGTTCCAGATTGTGTGATGGATCATTCATGGCGTCCTCATCTTCCACCACCCCCAATCCAAGGTAGAATCTGTCCTACTTGCTCAATCTCACACTTCCCTTTTTGCCCTGCACCACCCCCACCCCCACCCCCTTTCCCTTCAAATCCTAGTTTCACCCAATATCCACCTTATCCTCCTCATCAATCCCTCCCCCGCCCTCCGCTTCCACCCCAACCGGCGGCTTACGACCCCTTCGTCGATCATCGCGCTGGGCCCTCCATGCCCCCTCAAGTTCATCCGCGACCGTCCGATGCATATGAAAATACAAACCCTAGTTTTGATTCCGGTAATGTTGGAGTAAAGAGAATGAGAATCGATGATTCAACAGGTTCGTTTATGAACGAAAACTTGACAAATTTAGCTAGGGTTTCAACTGATAACGAAAGGAGATTGAAACTGATTAGTGAGTTTGGTGCAGCGAATCACGAATTAGACATGGGGCATGGTAGCTTTGATGGTGGAAAATACGGAAAGTTTGATGGATTTTTAGGTGCTAAAACTAGCAATAATAGAAGTTGTATTGATCCAGGTTATGGTAATTTGGATAGAAAACGAACATTTCATGAGCAAGAACATTTTGGAAAATTAGGATATGATGAAGTTGACAATTATTTGCCACGAAAAAATGGTTACAAATACAGTAATCCTCAAGCTGATAGTTACCGCCACAATGTAGAGCACGACCGACAGATTAAACTGTATCATGGACAACAGACCCCCATGGATGGTCACGGTCATAGCCTTAACCATTATTCGGAGGCTGCTTATGCAATGCAAAATAGTCATATGGAGTCGAAATTACTTCACTATGGTTCGTCATACGACCAAAGGGTTGTTAATTCAGTGAATGGCAGTGGCATGAGCTTGTATTCAGCACAACAGGGTTGTAAGGCATTTGCTAGCCAGCCGCCCCTTCCAGCTTCTCCACCACCTCCTCTTCCAATGGAGCCGCCTCGGCATGAGCGGCTTGTTTTGTCTTCACCACCTGGAACATCTGCCTCATTTTTTCCAGTTTCTGTTGGTTCTTCAGCTCCTTTGTCATCAACTTATCCTCCACCTCCTGAATATAATCATTCCATATCAAGTTATCAGTCCAATCTACATGTTTCCTCCGCATCTGCAAATGAGGTATTTCTTCAGCTTTTTGGGGCGTTTTAGTGTTCTTGGCTTTGCAATTTTTTATCTATTGACTAAGGATATGCTATTATTTATATATATTGATTGATTGCCTAGTTTATCAAATAAATATTGAAATTATACATATTAAAAGTTTCAAAATTCATATTAATTTGTGTCTGTAACTTCATTATTATTGGGTTTGATCTGCTTTTACTTTACTATAATGTTGTTCTTGAAACCTTAAGTTTTGATCAATAATTTGTTATACGTGATTAAAGCAACAGCAAGAGTACCAATACTAATTACTTGGAAGTAATTCTAAAGGAGAACCAGTATCCTGGTATATTCTTTCTTGATGGTTTCCATCTATTGATGTTTTTGTTAGTTTGCCACGTATAACTATGTTGTAGGTATTTGTAAGTTTGATCTTTTACCTTCCTCCTTTGAAAAGATTGTACCTCTTGTTTACACTCTTCTTGAACTGTGTACTATATGAAGAACGGATGAGTTATAATGATTGATTACATTGTCAATTTACCTCTTAGATCGTTAATGTTATTGCTAATTTGGGATATGCATGTTAATCCTTTAGTTGACTGTTTAAATTTATTGTGAGGTATTTGGGATCTTGTTTTTTCTTTAACCATTTGTCTCTTCTATTGATCCTAAACAGTTCATTCTTTAACTGAAGGGTTAGCGTGGTCGGGAGGTGCCTCCACTTCCAACTAGTTGACTAGGAGTTCGAGCTGGTTAAAGGGAACTGCTAATGATATCCTTGGGAGGTGGGGTGGGTTATGAAAGAGGAAAAAAGAAATTCATTCTTCTTCTTGTGTTAGGATAATACACAGTACTTATAGGATCAAACTCTTGAGTAGTGATAATTACTTTGATGTACAGGGAAATCCAGGGAAATGATTGCCTTCTTGTATGTTGATTCACATGATATTGATACAAGTTCTTATGCATATTTAAAATATAAACACCAAAAAAAATGCTTCCTATGTGTTTTTTTCAATTAAGGCCAGCTTATTTTATGTTTTACCAATCAAGATTACGGTCTTCTACTATTAAATTTTCGAATTTGTGAAAGATTTGAAACAATGCTCTACTTTTGCAAGGCAGGCTTTGGGGTATACGAGTTCTACGAGTTCAACTCTTTGTGTTTCTAACTTATTTATTTGTTATTGTTGGTATGTCTTGCTATAACAATTTGGGTGGGCCTATTATCTACTGATGTTTCGAACCGTGTGCCAATGGTCCTTTGGGATTTCTCAATTGTAAAGAAAATGTCGTACTATAATAATTTGATCTTTTCTGCATTATCTTGTTGACATCGGTTTCTAGCATATCTGTGGTAGCTTATCTAAAATTGGTTGTTTCTTCATCCATATATTGATCTCCTATGTATTTTTAGTTGTGTTCTAATCCTTGCAATATGATTCACAATGACGTACACACTTCATATGATGTGTATTTGGATGTGCTCCCAATTGATAACTTTGAATCTTACAACATCCTATGCACGCCTAAACAATATCGCCTAACATTTTCTTAAGCTAATCTGTTGTGCGATTTTGTGGTTCTGTCAAGTATTGGGATTCTAATTCTCTTTTCTGTCTTTTTTGGCCTTTTCTTTTCTTTTGCACCCTCAGCGGGAAAGAGGGTCTTCTTAATAACAGATGTACACCTCTGTGTCTTTAGCTTGCTTCTTGACTTAACAAGTTGATATCCCTTTTATGTTGGTGTTATGTTATGGTGAAGCAGGCCTAATATATCTGATTTTGTGTTATCCAGGAACTCCATATGCTCCGCTATACGTCATCATCTATGAGCTCCAGAGGAAGTGAACAAACTTTGCGTGACCTACCTTTGGAGAAGTCAAAAGTCATTGATGCTTCTCACATACTAAGGCATCCATACCGTGCTACCCGCCCTGATCATCTTGTTATAATTCTTCGGGGGCTTCCAGGTGCTTCTTTCTTTGCCAGGAACTATTTCATTTAGTTATGCACTTGTCCATTTTGTTTTTAGTTGACATATGATGAACTACAAGCTTGAGATCTTTAAATGAAAATTATGATCCTTATATTACTTGATTAAGAGACCCCTCCCCCTTTCCCCAAAGAAAAGGAAAAGAAAAAGGTGAGCCCTTCTAGTTATCGGAAAAGGAAGTTGAATTCTTTACTATGTTAAGTCTGCTTGAGACATATTAGGTGTTTACAATTCTTCCAGACCACCGAAAATTAGAGAGTACCTCTCTGCACGAGTATTAGTTAATTATGAATGAACTTGTTTTTAACTCCCCCCCCCCTCTCCCCCTTTCTCCCTCCTTTTGCAGTTGTCATGGTTAAAATTGAAGTGTGATGTAGGATTAGAACTATCCTTTTCCTGGGTTACTGGGATCCGTTGAGATTCACTTTTTTCCTTGTCGCATTACATATGTTGGTCTTCTTCATCATTCCATCTAATTTGACTGTCTTTTCAAGGGTACTTTTTTCTTAAGTCGCGGTCATGTCTCCCCCCCCCCCC